AGAAATCAAGCTCCTCAGTGCCTCAGCTAAACACAAGCACTGACCTATCCTTCATAATACTAACTGGCCAATCAACAATTACACAAATAGACTTATGAAAATTCTTGATACAATTCACATTTTATCATTACTCTGGCTGCTGTGGAGAAAACAATCAGAAGGAAGTTAAAAGCAGAAGCTAGGAAACTTCACGAAGCCACCACTTCCAGAGTTCAGGGCTGAACTCAGAGAAGACAGAGAAAAATGAACAATGGAGCTGGCATGACATTTGATGGACTGTGGGTAGGGATACTAACAGAAAATTTCCAGGTTAATGCCAAGACTTCTGGCTTGAGCAAATGGTCATACTGTGGTATTCAGAAGAAATTTAAAAGGGCAAGACTCAGGAGTTCAATTTTATAAAAAGTACGGACAAAATGCGTATAGGTGTGAACTAAGCACTGTAGTACGCTGCGGCAGCATTAATCATGCATGCATAATTCATGTGAACAATTTGAAACATTATAGTGTGACTATTTAGTGTCAGCTTCACCTCTGAACAATTCACAAGTAGGTACCATGTCCTTTTATTTTTGTCTCAGAACCTAACCTAAAACACAGAACTTAGGTCCTGACTGGGTGTTTCCTGAACAAAATTTTAAATTCTTTTCCAAAGTACACCTACTTAGCATCTAATTTACTACAAGTCATATAGATAGATACCTTTCACTTACTGAAAACTGCAACTATTAATGCATTCCACCCTCCAGAGCTTCATCTCATTTTCCCCACAGTCCCACAAGGGTCACTGAAGTAACAAGGCAATCTGGGGTTTGCATTCTCTTGACCCCACTTTCCCTGGTAACACTTGAATGCCTTTATTCAATCAACATTTCCTATGTTTACGATACTAAGCTAAACAACAAGTTTAGCCAAATCAGCAGCAAGGTGGATCAGTTCTTTTCAGAGTAAGGTAAACACTCACATAAGGAGATCTACCAGAGTCCTATCTACTTTAACACAGGTATAACAAAATGCCTTAGACTAAAGAGAAATGTCTCACTTTTGCAAGGAGCGACATGGGGAAAACTTATGGTCATGGAGACCAGGAACAGAAGAAACTACAAGACTGTTCCGTGGCTCCTTCCCCACAGAACTAGGTAACGGCCTGCAAGTATTCCCTCACTATAAACTCCCTTCTTACCTGATTTTGACCCTCAAAATAAAAAATAATCCCCAAATAAAACAAATATAATGCATGTGTTTGTTTTAAAGACCGTGAAGCCTGTACACAAACACTAGCAAGGAAGACGTGGGAGCACAGGAGCCACGGCGGCAGCAACGCACCTCTGGCACAGGGTGACAGTAACTTACATCTTGTTTTCCTTTTGCACTACTGTCTCCACCCAGGTTTTCTGGGATAAGAATAAATTATTTTATTATTGGGCCTAACATCAAGAGATTCTAAAATATCTAATTCTGCCAGATTTAGAACAATTTTTTCTTCTTAAAATAGTACTGTTCTATCAAGAATGAACTAAACATTAGGCGAGGTGGAGATTAAGTGTCTATAATCTTTCCGGTGGTCAATCGACCCATATACCACCCAAAGCCTTACAGATGAAACTTTTGGTTTAATAATTCCATTTCCAAGAAATTATTCCAAAGCAAATAATGAGTAATACAAACAAAATCATTCAAAGATGTGTATACACATTTATAATAGCAAAACATTAGAAACAACTTTACTTTCCAACAATTCACTCATTCATTTAACAAGTATTTATTGAGTGCCGTATGCGCCAGGCACTGGAGACACAGCAGGGAACAAACTACTCACAGGAGAGGCCTGCGGACCTGCCCTCAACGGAGCGCACAGTCTAGTGGGAGCTGCAGGGTGGGGTACATGTAATAAAGGATATTCTGCACGTTATATTTCAACATAGACTAAGGAGAAATGTGGAGCATGGAAGGGAGATAGGAGGAAGAGGTAGGAGAGATGCAAACTGCCAGAAAAGGCCAAAGGCAGTACATCTTAGTACGGGCAAATGAGTTCCAATCTTATCTTCTTCACTAAATGATCATACTGTTCGGTGATTATGTGACACGTTTCTGTATTCTAGATATAAACTGGCCTACAGAGCCTAAAGACCTACCTTAAGTCCATACTTAGGGTCATTCGTAGTCTACTGCTACCACACTTTCCAGTGTTCTCCCACCTTCACAACGATCACAAATACAAATACATCTCTTCATTTTATCTATCTCTGAGGTTTTACATCATTATAAAAATGACAGTATTTAGAACACAGTATCACTAAGGTTCCACATGGTTCAGAACAGTATAGTACATGGTCTCTGTTAGTGCATGGTCTCTGTATGGTATACACTGATTCAATGTATTCACTCCGAACTCTGATTCTCAGCTACTCTGGAGACACACAGTGGCTCCTTGCTTCAAATTTCACAATGAATGTTAGACAGTCTCTGTCCATATTGAAGCTTTCTAGCCCAGGCTTACTTGAGTTACTTAGAGACTTCCATTTACTCCCTTTGCCAGAAGGAATTTGGTTTCACTGGTGGTAGAAAGAAGGCAATGGACTTATTTAGACCTCTACTCCTCCTCCATGGCATTTCAGAAGGCATCTAAGTTCTAAAGCCTGCTGGGTAACAATTAGGGCAAGCTACTATATTTTTTTTAAAGATTTATTTATTTATGCATACAGAACTGGGGTACAGCCAGAGGTGCAGGGGCAGTGAGAGGATTCACCAGACACAGAGTGGGGAGAAGAACAGGCCGACTGATGAAGTACACTGATGAGGGGAGCAGCAGGCGGGTCAGGAGAGGTCTGCCACGCCATGTGGGTCACCTCCAGGGCTGGGGATCGAACTCATGCTGAAGTGGCTTTAGCTTCTTAGTGCTGTGCTTTAACCCGCTGCACCACCAGGGAGGGGCCCAGGGCAAGCTACTATTTAAGCAGTAGCTTAAGTTACCTCAATTCAAGATTTGATGAAAACACTTGGCTGGGCTGATCAAACAAAACACCATTAACCAGCACTTCAGAGTACCAATGAGAAGGACATATAAACCAAGTCAAGAATACACTGAAATTACTTTGGGAACCCGAGGCTTAGGGCAGAGAGCTATACTATTTTACAAAAAGGATGAGGGGGTTAAATATTTTAAGCTTTAAAATCAAGGTCCTCTGTTATAACTATTCAACCCTGCTATGTAGTGTGAAAGCAGCCAGATAATCTGTAAACAATGGTGTGGCTATGTTGCAATAAAACTTGACTTACAAAAACCTAATTTACAGGCCCACAGGCCATCGTTTGTCAACCCACAGTACAGGGCATCAAGCTAACGGTATATTGACTCTAAGACATCACCAGAGTTTTTATTCTGGGTCTGCTAAATCCTAGAGGTTGCCTCTTTCTGTTATCTCTTAATATAGAGATATTGGGGTTTTGAAAAACTTCCTGAATTTAGCTGCTGACTTTAATCATCTTTTACAAAGAAAAAGATACAATGGCATATAAATAAATACAAAAGAGAATTACAAGTTCCATATAAAGCACAAAAGCTGCCAACAAAATGGTTACAGTGTGTACTGCATGAACTTAAGTCCACTGAGAAAAGTTAGTAAGACATGAATAAAAATTCAGCTACAAGAATGTAAATTTTTATAATAACAAAAAACTGAGAACTGCCTATATATGCTACATCTGTAAGACTAATTAAATAAATGATGTCACATCCATACAACGCAACCACTAAACCATTAAGATTATTTTTATAAAATATTTATTTAGAAAGATGTTTTGATGTAATTATTAAAAGTGGGTTACAAAATTGCATGTACAGTATGATCCCATTTTTGTGAAAATAAATGTACATATACACAAATAGCCATACATAAAACCACCTAGAAAGATACACCAATGTATTTACAGTGGTTGTCATGGTCGGTGAAATTCTGCTGACTTTATCTTCTTCTGGCTTACTTATAATTTCTAATTTTTCTAGCAACACTGATAAGAAAAAATTTCACTATAAAATAATAACTAAGACAGGTACAGCATTACTTATGTCAACATTTCCAAAATAAATTCTCAAAGTATAGGAAGTCACATCAGTTCTTAGAGCTTCAAATTGATTTCTCCAGGGCCTCCAATTGCTAGCTATGAGGGCCAAGAACATTTAGGCACTACATGTAAGAAGAAGTGCAAAGAATAAGGAAAGTGACTAAGAGTACTCAAATCGGAGTCAACTACAGAAGTCTGCATCATGAGCAAACCACCTCCAGCTGAACAACTGAGAATATTTGGGACATCTATTCCAGTTTTCCTACTTTATACTGCCTCTGGCTCAGGGTCTGAATGAAAAAAAGCAACTATCATTATTCATGCCACTGATGAGAGGATCTTCAATCACCAACTTTGGGGGGAAAGGTAGGGGGGGTAAGTCACACTACAATGTGATGGATCTCAAAATTCCATGAGAATTCCATATTCGGGGTCCAAACACATCTGTAAGAGACTCAAATGTCAATTAATTGGTATTGTGGCAAATGTTACCCAATCCTAAGTGGGTTACTGATAATAGCCAGTAGACCCCCTGCTGAGCTCATCAATAAAATTCAATTAATAATCCAATAAAAATTATTTCAAATGAGACTATGAATAGAGATCAAAACAACACTGTAGCAAAAAACATACATATATTAAAAATGTTACAATTATATAAAACTAGACAAAGGCTCAAACAAAATGCCAATAATTTGCTAAGGTGACAGAAATGTGGCTAGTTTTAATTCCATTACCTAACCAATTTTTTAAATAATACAGAATGCAGTTATTAAGCAAATATAATTTATTTTTTGACAAGTTACATAGTTTTCAGCCCACCACATGGAGCAAAGTCTCAGAAACATGCACTTACAAACCCCCCCGCACCTGCACCAGCACTTCACTACTACTAGTCACCCGGTTTCGAACAGGAGGAGACTCTGAAAACTCACCATTCGGGCCCAAAGTTCAGTGTCTGCGTTTCCGCTGCCATTCTTTTCCGTATTTTCACAACAGATTTTTGTATGTGGAGAAACCTGTAAAGAAAAAATATCTCCATACAGTTAGTCAGTCAAGATGAAATGCAGAAGTCCAGCCCACAAAGTACAAGTGTGTCCTGCTTATGCTCCTCTCTACTGGTCACCAGAATGAGAAGTGAACACCTGTTAATACTAACATAAAAGTCAAAGTGAACTGGGAAAAATCCACCCTGATATTCCCATTCCTATCCTTTCAGGCTTATCTTGGGGAAGAAGACATGGTATCATGTCGAAGCTGGTAAGATAGGCCGGAGCAGGGCATGCACTGGGGACAAATTAAATTGCTCTTCTTTACCGTCCTGCAACAGGGAGTAAATGAAGGGCACCAATTGTTTTTTCAGAGATTTGTTGATACACAGAAGAAATGGGGTGTAGGCTAGATGTGTGGGGGACAAGAGGAGTCACCGAAGACAGAGTGGGGAGCAGAACACTGAATACACTGAAATCCACTGCTAAGGTGAGCAGCGGGCAAGACAGGAGAGGTCTGATGTGCCATGAGGGTCACTCCCTGGCCAGGGATTGAACTCAGGCTGGGATAGCATATAGTGCCACCGTGCCACCAGAGAGGCCCCCAGATTTACCTTTTTATTACTCCTTCACAGTGATTCTCCTGTCACCAGGTGGAAATCAAAGATCCTTAAAGTAATAATCTCAATTACCAATCTCAAGGGTTCTGCTAGAACTTCCACACTGCTGCTTAGCACTTTAACTACAGTGATTCTTTAAAAAATCTTAGATCAGGCCCTCCATGGTGGCGCAGCGGGTTAAAGCACAGCACTGAGAATCTAAAGCCGCTTCCGCATGAGTTCGATTCCCGCCTGCTCCGGAGGTGACCACATGGTGCGGCAGACCTCTCCTGACCCACCCGCTGCTCCCCTCAGCAGTGTACTTTGTCGATCTACCTGTTCTGTTCCCCACTGTCTCAGGTGAAGCCTCTCACCGCCCCTGAGCCTCTGGCCTGTACCCCAGTTCTGTATGCACAAATAAATAAATCTTTAAAAAAAAAAATCTTAGATCATCAAGTTAAAATAATAAGCTAATGAACTTTATTAACGAATTTTCAGGGGCAAATTCAAAATATCATAATTTAACATGAAATAAGTCAGAGAAAGAAAATGAATCAAAATGTGTTGACTCTAAAAGACAAACTCAGAGAAAAAAGAAAAAAGGGGAAATGGGCAGATGTTGATCAAAGGGTACAAACTTCCAAGTTTTAAGATTAACAAGTTCTGGAGGATGTTATCCAATGTGGTGATTACAGCTAATAATACTATGTTCTAATTTCTGAGAGCTATTAAAAGAGTAGATCTTAGATATCCTCACCACAAAAAAGAAATAGTAGTTAAATGATGAGACAGGGCTGTTGGTGCTATTGTGGGCGTCACATTACAATACATGTACCAAAACAACACATTGTACACCTAAACTTGCATAATATGATGTGAATTATATCTCAAAAAAGCTGGGGGACAAGAGCTCAGAAAAAGAAAAATACTGTAAATATTATGTATGCACTGCAAATAACTCCAAGATACATGTATCACCCTGGTTTTTTTTTTTTTTCTGTTTAAATGATCTATAATCAATAAACTAGAAACTGCCCTGAAACACAGAGAAGTGAAAGTGTGCTACTGTACATAATCTGGCCTCCTCCCAGAAAGTATATCTGGCTGTGTCGACCACATGGCTCCAGGGATACTCCCAGGCTCTTACGTGACTCTGATCAGACAAGCATGCACACCAGACTCAAGCTGAGATCAACTTAGTGCCCTCCCCACTTCTTAAGTCACTGATGGCTCAAAATCATAAGACACATGTTTTTTTCACATTTTAACATCTCTGCAATCAGAACACACCTTGGAGCAATGCTCCCCTACACAGCTGCTATGGCTCAGCGGGGCTGTGTCGGATGTCACTGTCTGCAGTTAACCTGGCCACTGCCGCTCACACTGTCCTTTCAATTGTGTACCTGACTTCAACTTCAGCTAAAAATGTCTTCAAAAAGATTATGATTCTAAACTGAAATGAAAAACATTAAAAGGAAAGCAATTACAGCAGTGGAATGTTAGTGAAGTGGCTGACTCTTCTTCACTGGAGGAATGACAGCAGGTGCTTTACAGATCTGAGAGGGAAAAAATGCTACAAACAAAACTTGTGTTTTGCTGCTGAGACGTCCACTGGTCACTTACTTGCAGTCACTTACTAGTGGGAGAGGGGGGAGAGGGTTTGAATAGCTTCGTAAGAATCAAGTCACTGAATTTTAAATATAGGAGCATACTCCCTTAAGACATGTTTCATCAACATACCCTTAGTGATGTGACACTACACAATGGGGAGGAGGAGGAGGGAGGAGACGTCTACAGTACTAAGTGAAAAAAAGATTTAGAAGAGTCACACTCTGCATATGTGGAATCTGAGAAGCATCTTAACCACTTTATGTCATTTCTATTTTTCTTTTAATATGTGCACATGATTATGTACTACATAACAAAAAAATAATTTGCTAAGTAATTTAAAGAACTTTTTTAAATATGTAAAATAAAAATTCTAACAGGGGACTCCCTGGGGGTGCAGGGGTTAAAGACTATTAAGCTATCCAAGCCACTGTGGCATGAATTCAATCCCCAGCTGGCCAGGAAGTGACCCACAGGATGCAGCAAACCTCTCCTGTCTCCCCGCTGCTCCCCTCAGCAGTGTATTTCAGTAGATCAGCCTGTTCTGCTCCCCAGTGTCTCTGGTGAATCTTCTCACCTCCCACACCTCTGGCCTGTACCCCAATTCTTGTATGCATAAATAAATAAATCTTTAAAAAATAAATTTCTAAATAATTAAAAAACAACTGTGCCAGCCTTTACTTCACATATTTCCTTCTCAGAAATACATAATATGAAGTCTTACAAGCAATGCATTTTACATTCAATTAAATTATACACTACCATAACCACCACCACACTCCTCCCCCCCCCAAGGAAATGATCTGTCAAGGTAGTGATGGTCAGACCACAGTAAAAGCCCACTGGAGGTTAACACACCTGTGACCTAGTTAGCATCAATCGATTCAGCCTGCTTTTTAAAAAGTATGTGAACCCACCTGCCTAGTAAGATAGTGGAGACTATCAAATGGGTTTTGGCCTTTTTGTTTTGATAATACAAAACATCTTGAAGGAACATTTTTACCACCACTTTAAACTCAGCCTATTCATGTTCCAATGGAACAATGACCAACGACTGGAAGATAGCTCTGAATTGACAATGTGAACAGAGTTTGAATCTCAGTTAATTTGTAAAGCAAGTGAATCACAACTAAAAAGTGCATCACTGGCCCTCCCTGGTGGCGCAGCGGGTTAAAGCACAGCACTGAGAATCTAAAGCCACTTCCGCATGAGTTCGATTCCCGCCTGCCCCGGAGGTGACCACATGGCGTGGCAGACCTCTCCTGGCCCGCCTGCTGCTCTCCTCAGCAGTGTACTTCGTCAATCTGCCTGTTCTGCTCCCCACTCTGTCTCTGGTGAATCCTCTCACCCTCCGCATCTCTGGCCTGTACCCCAGTTCTGTATGAATAAATAAATAAATGTAGATAAAAAAAAAAAAAGTGCATTACTGCACATTTGTAAAAATACTAAAATGACTCAGATTTTATTTTTCCCCTTTAAGTTACTCCTCCAAGGCCATCACACATCTCCATATAGGAGTTGAGTAGCCAAATCTGCCAGGCACAAGCAGCATTCCTGAACTACATCTCAGGAACAATGGCAGGGAAACCTGTTCAGGTCCACCTGTAAGACCTTTAGGTAGTGTCAGACAACCACAGTGCACAAACAAGAAAAAGCAGCAGTCATTTTAACAATGCCTTGAGCTACAACATCATTTCCAGAAAATTACTTCCTAATGTAAAGATTTTTCTAGAAAATGCTTAAGAACCTAAGAATACTAATCCAAGAGATTGTCATCAACTACACAGACCTACATACTCAGAACAGTGTCCTGCCTTATGAGTTAAAGCAGTAAAGAGTTATGTCTGTTGTCAGCACTTAAGTACTATAAACACTATTTCTGAATTCCCACCCAACATTGATCCTCCCAATTGAATTTAAATACATGCAATTCTAATACATTTATGTGTTCTGGAGGGATTGTCTTACACGATGCCTCTGCATTATAGATTAGCTGGAATGGAAACTAGGCCTGATTTCTTAATCATCCTTTCTAAGGGTGCAGTGAGGTATTGAAATGAGCTAAGTTAGGCCTTGCTGCCATTTAAACCCCACCCTACCCAAATGTTTTCAACTCAAAATCCCAGGAGACTTGTGGCGAGTAGAAAACAGCACTGTTTTACATCAGGTCAGGACTCAAACCAGGTTCTGGGTGCTGTACTTCCACCAGGCAACCCTGCCGATCTTAAGCCATTTCCTCTTTTCTCCTCCATGACCACAGCATTGTCATATCCCAGTCATTTCCTTCCTATGTAGTAAGCATTCTCCCAGAAGTTTCTTTTGGCTTACCTTGGTGTGCCTATGGTTTATTTAACTCTAAATTCTATTTGGACATTGTCTTAAACCTTTTCTGTATAATGATGCTCTCTGCTAACATTTTGGGTGGAACCCTAACTAAATCATGGGGAATAAAAAAGGGCAAGCAGCAAGTGGGCATATCATTACACCAGCAGAGGGAAGCTCGCCCACAAATTTCTACACACTCCCTCGGGAGCCCCATCCTGCTGCAAATTACAGATTTGGCCTTTCTCTCTTATGACCCATGTGGCATTTCCGCTGACTGTTACTCTTGGGCATCCAGCTCATCAATAACTGGCCAGCTGACTAACTTTCCGTCGGCAGGCTCAAAAGCCTAGAGTAATCTAAAACTCCTTACTATTCCATCCTTCGCGTCCAATCGTTTTGTCTCAAATGTGTTTGATTCCTCTTTCAAGAGTCCTCCTGCATTCTCTTTTCATTAATGTCAAGCTTCTGTTGACTCAGGTCTGGATTATCATCAAAAAA